CATATGGGATCCGATCTGATTCGATTCTAAATTAGTTAGGATCTAACGTAATTTCTGGATACTGGGGTTACTACCAAAAAAAAAAAAAAAAGAAAAAATCTTTCCTCTCTCTCCACCTTCTTCTCTTGCTTTTGATTACCTTCATCTGCGTTTCGTTATTTTGAGATCAAAAGCCCAAGGGCTTTTGAGTTTTTGATGCTTGAGCTGCCGGGATCTTCGGCTGCTCAAGCATGATGGAGCCGGTTTCGTGCTCCCTGCTCTAATGACCCTTTATGGTCTGTCGGTTGTTGGGCCCCTTCTGGTGGCCTTTTTTTGGTTTTTGTTTTTCTGCAAAATGTGATACATTTCCAATAAGAAATGGTTCGGCAAGCTCCCAAGGTACCCGCTTGTAGCCCTAACATTCACTTCCTCGCTATCTTCCCCTTGCAAATTCTCCAAACTCGAACTCCTTTGAAACCGTTCCTACCTTTCCTCTCTTCTATGTTCTCATAGCTAAAGCTTACATTTTCTTCGACCAAGACGTGGCTGCTACCCATGAAATTGACATTCACTGAAACCAGATTTTGATCCAAACACATGAATTCAAGCCAACACTCGAAATCTTCGGACAAGATTTCACTATGCCCCTCTAGATCAAGAAAATTCACGATTAAAAAAAACCACTAGCTTTTTCCTGCCACTGATTCACTGCCGCTGAAGGCATTGATTCTGACTGAGAAAAACCCAGATTTGGGTTTCAAAGAGGAAGAAGAAGGGAGAAGAGAGAGAGAGAAAGAATAAGAAGAAGAAAGAAGAAGGATGAGCAGGGAGGAGGAAAGGAGGAATAAGATGAAGTTTGAGAGAGAAACTCAAATCCCAGATCTGGGTTTGCAGAGGTAAGGGAAAAGGAAAGGTAAAGGAGAGAGAAAGTGAAAGAGGAAGGAGAGATGACGTGGATGAAAAAAAAATCATTATTTTTAAATTAAATAAAAATGTCAACTCATAGGCCAACTATATTTTTTTTTTCACGTCATTAGTTAAGAAAAAAAAGCATTGATTTGCTGGCAAGTTAACGTGACATCTGTCATTTAACTGACGAAAGGACTGTTTTGGTACCGAAAATGAAAATTTAAGGATAATTTTGATACTTTTTAAAGTTGAAGGACAATTTTGATCCCAAAATGAAAAGTTGAGGGACCAAAATGGTACTTAAACCATTTAATATCTATTCTTCTTAATATAAAATAAAATATTATTACAGTTGGCCATCACGTCTAGAATTGCACATTGCTCCGCATAGAGCAAGGTTAATTGAAAGAACATAACTGAAAATGTTAATTTTATTAACATTTGTTATATTTTAACGATTATACATATGCATAATTTTTAAAAAAATTAATTATCAAAGATTGAAATTAAAA